GCTCAGGCAATCCACTCACCTCAGTCTCCCAAAGCATGGGATTACAGACTGAGCCACCGAGCCCGGCTTGTTTCTGTTCTTAGGATGAGGGCGGAGGGCCAGGGTGTCCCGCCAGAGGTGGGGACATAGAGGACATTCACTTTGTCATCAGGCCTGGAGCAGAGCAGGGGAGTGACGGGAGGGGTTCCTTGCCCCCTCAAAGGCACAGTGAGACCCTGACCGAAGGAGCACTGGCCGACGTCCCCAGGCCTGGTCCTGGGAGGTCCCCTCAGGGGTGGCCTCTGGGGTCTCCCAGTCTGTGGGGAGGGGGACAGGGATGGGTGTGCCTTATGCAGACCGGCAGAGACTTCCGCCCGATTGGGCCAGGGGTCGGGGCAGGCAGAAGGGTCTCTCCTGTCTTCTGGGGACCAGACACAGGCCAAGAGCCGGGGAATCTTGCAGTCTGACTCCATTGGGGCGCAGTGTACCTCTGGAAGTCAAGGTGGCCCAAGGGGGTCACAAGCTGACTGGGGCAACCGACCTAGCCAGACCTCGGGGAGCAAGCTGTTTTCAGGGCCCAGCCTTTTCCCCCAATGAGACGGAAGCACAGAGCCGGTGACAGGGCAGGCTCTGGTTGACCCGGGGGTAGGGGCTGCCTCTCCCGTAACCAGAACCCCCAGGGCTGTCCCACCCTCCATGCATGCTAGGGCTCTGGGTCACAGCAGGCATGTCACTGTCCAAGACCAAGCTCCACAGCTTATAGATGGGGAAGCTGAGGTCCGGGGTGGTGCCAGGCCCCAGAACACAGGGGAATATACGCTGCTCTGACCTGGGCCCGACTCCCCCAGAGTCCGGGGCTCAGGGCAGATTTGTCCCCATCCCCTGGGCGCTGGGCATGCCGGGCTCGTGTCTGGCTCCTACCGGAGCTGTGAGCAGCTCAGGGCAGGACTGACGCTTCTCCCCTGTCCCTCGACCGTGCGGGAGGCCCGTCTTCCCACGCCTGGAGAAACCACAGGGTGGGCTTTCTGCCAACCCCAGGGGGCAGTTCTGGGGGCGGGGTGTTGATCCCTGGCTGCACCTGTGGGGCGGCACCTGGGTGGCCGAGATGACCGCAGGGACCTTATCGGGTGGGGGCGGGGGACACAGACCCCAGGGCTGGCAGCTGGGACTCACGTGGCAACCCTTTGCTCCACAAGCCCCTTCCCCTCCACAAGTCCCATGAGCTGGGAGGAGGACAGGACTCAGAGACGCCTGGCTGACAGGTGACCTTTGGAGAGATTCGGAGGGAGCCGCGGGCACTTCCTAGTGGGCATCTCTGGGGACGGGAGGGGTCCAGGCGGTGAGAGCGGCTGGAGGGGCGAGCAGACTTGTCCGGAGGACCCAGAGTTCAGCATGCGAGGCAGCCCTGCCGGGGGAGCTAAGGCGACTCCGTGGGCGGGGCTACGGTGGGCTTGTGGGCGGAGCCTTGGCTCTGTAAGGGGTGCCTAGGGCGGTCCTGTGGGCGTGGCTAAAACGGTCCTGTGGGTGGGGCTAAGACAGTCCTGTGGGCGGGGCTAAGGCCCCTCGGGGGATCACCAGCTCCGGAGGGGGAGTTCCGGAGGCCATGACGTGAGCAGATCTGCTTTTCAGGAAGACCCTTCCACCTGCACCCAGCAGAGGGTGACACGTAAGTGCCCAGGACACTGCTTGGTCAGTGATGCCAGATGGATGGTGGGTGGGCGGAGGAAGGAAGGGGGGACGGATGGGCGGATGGAGAGATGGGAGGGAGGGAGGGAGGGAGACAGGTGCGAGGAAGGACGGACAGATGAGCAGACGGGCTGCAGGCGGGGAGAAGGCAGGGGCCCACCCTGCGGGGGGCGGCCGGGCCTGCGCTGTTCCTCCCTGGCTTTGGGGACAACGCGGAGGGAGGTGGGTGTGAAGAGAGAGTCCACGGGGATAGTCCGCGGTCTGCAGAAGGCCTGGATGTGGGGCTGAGAGGCAGGGGACGCCTGTGCCTCCCGGCTGACCTGGGCCAGAGCGAGTGGCCAACGGCGATGATCACGGCGGGGGTCAGGGAGTGGCTGAGGCTTTGGGGGTGTGCCGCCCTCCCTCTGGGGTGTCTGAGCCAGCATGACTGATGGAGGTGGGGAGGGGTCAGCGCTGGCCCTGGCGGTGTCAGGGGCGGCGGTCACTGGCCCCCAGAGGGATGAGCTGGCCCGTGGGAGGGCAGAGACCAGCCAAGCCCGGGAGACCAAGGCAGGGTGGCTAGAACAGCGCTCCCGGGCAAGCTGGCAGGGCACAAGATGGGGCACTGGACGGCACAGGATGGCATTGGCGCCGGGCCACCTTGCCTCCCAGGCTGTCTGCAGGGCAGTGAGCTCTTCCCTGCTGTGAGTGTTCTAGAAACCTCCATGCCGTCCAGCTAGACCTGGCTTCCCCGGCCCCTGTCTCCGGTGGCACTGAGAGCCTCTTCCCGTCCTCCCGCCGAAGCACCCCAGGCCATGCTTTGTCCTGTCTCCCAAAGCCCCGGGTCCCCCATGGGAAGAGATGGCAGAGGCCTTTGGCTTTCCTTCCTGGGTCAGCCCTTCCCTGCTGTGGGGACAGAGGCCCCTGTGGTCAGCAAGACCCTGCCATCACGGAAAGGACAAGACCCCCTCCCCGGGGCGCCCCCTCTCCCTGAGGGACAGAACAACTGCAGGTGAACTCTTTCAAGAATACAAAGTCAGCTCCCTTCGCTGAGCACAAAGTTCAAGGGTTCTGGAAAGCCCCAGGGTGCAGGGGCTCACACCTGCAATCCTAGCACTTTGGGAGGCCAAGGCAGGAGGATTGCTTGGAGCCAGGAGTTGGAGACCAGCCTGGGCAACACAGCGAGACCCTGTCTCTATTTAAAAAAAAAAAAAAAAAAACAAAGAGGCCAGCACCTTGGAGATTTTGCTCCCTGACACAGCCCTGGGTTGGGAAATACCAACAGGGGCATTCCAGCTCTTTGGCATTTCTTTAAGCAAAACAGCTGAAAGTCTGTGATGAAATAATTGGCTTAAAGGAAGGCTTGCCCCACTTCAGAGGGGGTGGGGGAATGTCAGTGTGTCCCCCACAAGGGGAACTGACCAGAGAGGCAGCTGAGGGCGGAGATCACCCCTGGGCCGTGCCCCTGGCTAGTGTGGGTGAAAACCTCTCATTGCCTGAAGATGTATAGTCCGAATTGCACGTAATGACTGGTTGGGGGGCAGTGAATTCCTCAGTGACATGTATCTTACATCATGCAGTCCCCGCCCCTCCAGGGAGGGTCACGGCCAGCGCCCACAGTCACGGGACCCTTTCTGGTTACCCAGAGGTCCCGGCCTCCAAACCCTGGCTCGGGCCCCTTCTGCTTGTTCCTTCCTAGAAACCAGCAGCCCCTGCCTCGACACCCTCGGGCAGGGCTGCTGCCGGGGTCCAGCTCCTCCCCTCCTCGGGCTGACCCCTAGAAGAGCTTCTGTCCTGTGAACACCTGCACTGGCTTGGGTCCTGTGATAATCTCAGTGGAGATTCGCAGGAAGCTCTCCCCGCCTCCGAGCCCCTCTTGGGAGGGTGGCAGTGATGACAAGGGAGGAACCCTTCTCTGCAGAACACAGGAAATGTCTGGCCCCTGCAAACCCCTCCTCAGGGCCTGGTTCCAGGGACAGCCCCTCGACAGAAGCAGCCAGGAGCACTGGGCGTGGAGTTCTGGCCCGGGTCTGGTCCCACTCGGGTCCTAGGTACCCTAGGCAGAGGGTTCTACCACCCACGTCCCCCCAGCGGTGCCCGCCCCCGAGAGACGGGGACTCACCGAAGCGTAGAGCCGACCCCTCTTGTTCATGGCCAGGTACCGTCCGGAGAACAGCCCCCGGATGGCCACGATGCCCACTTCCACCGCCGTGATCTCCAGGATACCTGGAAGAATCAAAGGGTGCCTTATGCCCCCAAGCTCCCTGCAGAGTCGTGGAGGGGGTGGCAGGCACCTGCAGGTCCTGCCCAGGGCGGTGCCCGGGTTGAGGGGGTGGGTGGAGGGCTGCACACCCAACAGGTGCGTGTGTGCGGTTGGAGAGGGAGAAGTCTCTGGGCAGGAGGCAGAGAAGGCAGGAAACCAGGGACGCCTTCTCCAAACAGAAATTTCCACCTCGAAGGGAAGGAATCAACATATACACCCTGACTGTGCTGGGCATCGTGTGGCTTCCCGTGTGTGGCTTATGTGAGTCTCACAAGGACTTTTCTTTTCTTTTTTGGAGTCAGAGTCTCACTCTGTCGCCCAGGCTGGGATGCAGTGGCACGCTCACGGCCACCCCCGTGTCAACCCGCTGGGCTCTGGCGATCCTTCCGCCTCAGCCTTCCAAGTAGCCGGAACCACAGACTGCACTACCACGACCGACTAATTTTTGATTTATTGTAGAGACGAGGTCTCGCAAAGTTCCCCGGGCTGGTCTCGAACCCCTGGGCTCAGACGATCCTCTCTCTTTGGCCTCCCAAAGTGCTAGGATGACAGGTTTGAGTCACCGCGCCTGGTCATGCAAGGATTTTTCTTTCTTTTTTTTTTTTTTATTGCAAGGTGCTTTTTTTTATTTCAAGCTGCTTTCATCCTCTTCACTGCCTGACCCACAAGCTAACGTGAAGGCACCCGCCAGGACCCCACACGTGTGCTTGCTGGGAATTCTGGCTGCAGGCACAGGCTTCTGAGGTCTCCAAGTCTGGGTCTGTTCCACAGCACCTGGTCCCAAATTGGGTGAGGGGAGGCCCGGGGTGCTGGGAGTTGGTGGACAATGCAGAAGGTGCCAGAAAAATGTATACACAGTTGAAGTATGACATCCACTCAAAAGACGGCGTTCATGAAATAAATGCCAGCATCACCGCAATGGGCAGGACAACCAAAGAAAATGGCGGGAGTATGGTTGAGCGGACGTGCCACTACACAGCGCGACCGTGGTTCCGTTCAACTTCGAAAAGTCACCCACAGATAGCAGCACTTAAAATGTGTTCAGTGGCCAGGCTCGGTGGCTCACCCTGTCATCCCAGCACTTTGGGAGCCGAGGCGAGAGGATTGTCTGAGCCCGCGGGTTCGAGACCGGGAAACTTGGCAAGATTTCATCTCTACAATAAATCAAAAATTAGTCAGGCATGGTAGTACGAGCCTGTAGTTCCAGCTCCTTGGAAGGCTGAGGCGGAAGGCTCGCCGGAGCCCAGCAGGTC